GCCCCTTCACTCTCCTGATTTCTACCTTTAAGCTCTTTTGTTTTTCCAGTTCATTACATTTGTCTATGTAGGAAGTTATGACCCACTAAGGTCAACAATATACCTGCTATTAAAACAGGCAAGGATCAGAATACAAACTATGACCTTAATTAACTTCAAAGTGAATTTCAACCATCTTAGTAGTTTGGGTGGGGGTTGCTCTTCCATTAAAAAAAGTGGAGATGTCAGCACTAATTTTATGTAAGCCACCCTGCAGCAGTATAGAAATATATAAATATGTAAATAAATTAACGTTCCACTACCCTCCTCAGACTCCAAATTCACTTCTCTCTTAGGCCCCAAATGCCTACCTTCTTAGAATCACAGTTACAGACTGTAGAATCTGTGTCCTGTTGGGAAGAATAGAGAGATAATTGACTGCCAGCCACAATTATTAGTTGTCCAGGCAATAGGAGAGAAAAAGGAGAAACATTGATAGGTACAAACAATGAAGTTGTTTGGTTCTGAATCATTCTATGCAATTGTGTGATGATTTACTTCACACCCAAACCAGGGTTAATCCTGTTCAGAAAATTATTAGTCACCTTTGGGGGGAAATTGCTTTATAACAATAACCTGTGACATGATTTACTTCAAATTATACTGTGCAAAAGAGATACTTTAAATCCACCTACAGCTGTTCTAGGAACTTTCGGAAAAGTCTTTCAATTATATACTTTGATTTTAATAAAAAAAAAGTGTATAGTAAGTTAGAACAATAGCATTTCCATCCTTAGTGGCTCAAAAATCTGTTTGTACAATGCTGGTTTTAAAACTTTTTCCCCCATTTCAATATATTGTTGTAAATTTTAATACATTATTTTGATATAATAATTTTTATAAAGTACTAATTAACATTATTGACATTCTATTGTTTAGAATAAATAACTTGGAGTACTAGAAATAAGAATACAATAAAATATTATAGGTATTAATCATCAGTTAGGATATGGATGTTAGAAGCATTTTACAGAGGAATTATTGAGTCTGTCATCAGCACCTCTATAACTGTCTGGTTTTGTTCTGCAACCCAACAAGACAGACACAGATTTCAGAGGATAATTAGGACTGCAGAAAAAGCCATTATTATTCATATAGCTGGAAGGGACCTTGGTGGTCTTCTAGTCCAGCACCCTGCTCAGGGGAGGAGACTCTATACCATTTCAGACAAGTATTTCAGAGCATCCACGACTTTTGGAGGCAAGTTGTTCCACTGGTTAACTGTCCTCACTGTTCGGAAGTTTCTCCTTAATTCCAGGTTGCTTCTCTCCTTGATTAGTTTCCATCCATTGTTTCTTGTCCTGCCTTCAGATGCTGAGAAACTTGATCAGAGAACAAGAAGAAAAAAGATATATTTTCCTCTATAGCTCAATCTAAAGTTGTAAGATAATGCAGTACAAATAAGCTTCAGATATTTTGCAAATTCCAAAAATACGAAATCTGGTAGTGAGAGTATCTAACATCCACTTTTTATGCATCTGCTAATTTACCATATTTTAGAAAACAAATAGGAGCGTGATGGCTCACATGGTTAGGATGCTGATTTGACAATCTGCAGAGCCGCATTTGAAGCTCAAGTGCTACTGTATGTCAGGTTGAGCTCCCATCATTCGCCCAGCTCCTGCCAAACCAGCAGTTCAAAAGTATGTAATGCAAATAGAGAAATAGGTACCACTTCAATGGGCTCATTAATGGGGACATGAAAGGAATCCCGAATTGGACATCCCACAAGCAATAGTGATGTCACTGGCAAAACCTTTCACGATGGAAGCGCTTTCGTGCTTCCAACACGGAAATAGGTTAGTAATAAAAAAAACAAATGTCTTTCTTTAAACACCATTTTGTAGAATCAATGCTCTCTTTTTACATGTTGGAATCTATTGAATTTATAGATCTTTGTGCATATTAATTTATTATTTGAAACAAATAATGTTGATCACTTAAATATGATTTTTTTTTATTCTTAATTTAAATATATAAATATGCCAGGCCATTGGATAAGCAAATAAAAATTATTTCTATCAAATTTAATTGCAAAATTATACAGCACTGAAGTTTGACAGTAAGTGCTTTGTCTATTTCACATTTAAAGTTTGGAAAGTACAATTTATAGGAAGAATTTAGAGAAAAGTTTGGTTTAGTGGTTAAGGCAAATGCTTAGTTTAATTTAGTTTAGTTTATTGCCATTGCACCTTGTACAGTGAAATTAAATACCATCTTCAGTGTACAATTTATAACTATCAAAATAAACACAAACACACATTTCTCACATTCCACACATTGAATTGAAAACTCCTGATATTGCATTAATATTGCCATACAGTAGAATTCAATTGAGTTACTGCCCTGGGATAGAAGCTGTTTTTCAGCCTATTTGTCCCTGTTGTTATTATCCTTTACAATCTGCCAGATGGTAATAGTTCAAAAACAGGGTGCCCAGGATAAGATGGATCTTTGAGAATGTTTTGAACTTTCTTAAGGCAGCGGGAGCTGTAAAGTTCTTCCAAAGAGGGGAGAGGGCAACCAATGATCAGAAGACCCTCTGGAGTGCTTTCCTATCTGCCACTGTGCAATTGGCAAACCATACAGAGGTGCAGTATGTTAAAATGCTCTCTATGGTGTAGCGGTAGAAGGTCACCAACAGTTTCTCATTCAGTTGTTGTTTTCTGAGAAGTCTCAGGTAGTATAATCTCTGCTGGGCCCTTTTGACCAGGGCTGCAATATGGGCACTCCAGGTCAGGTCCTCTTTTAGGGTAACACCCAGAAACTTAAAACTGGCCACTTGCTCCACTGGGTCTCCATTGATAAGCAAGGGCTGGATGTCTGATCTGTTCCTTCTATAGTCCACTATAAGTTCCTTGGTCTTACTGGTGTTGAGGACCAAGTTATTGACTCCACACCATGAAAGCAACCGGTCTACCTCATCTCGGTAGGAAGACTCATCGCCCTCTGAGATGAATCCCACCACTGTTGTATCATCAACCTGGTAACCTGGCGATTCTAAGGCGGGACGCCTTAGGCATGAAAGCAGTCTGGGTACTTTGGGCCAGTCCCTCTCATCCCAGCCCACAACATCAGGCATGGTTATCAAACTATGATCAATTCCTGTGGCAAATTTCCAAAAGGAAAGGAAAATGCTTTCAGAAAAGCACCAGGAAAGAAAAGAAAAAAAAGGAACTATTTGATACAAAAAATAGTCTTGCCAACTAAACAGTAGTCTCGCTAACTAAACAAAAGTAGTCTTGCTAACTAAACAGATTTCATAAGGTTAATCATAAAATATGAGATAATTATGCATGGATATTATTCCTATAAAATGGACAGAAGGGAGGGAAATGGTTGAACAGTGTGATTGTTCATAACAACAACAAATTCTTCATCAACAATATATTGAGCTCTAACTGTACAACATTTATAACCGTCCATTTATTTAAATTATATTAAAGCATTATTTTTCTTTTTCCTTTTTTAAAAATTTAAAAAATATAAAACGAGTTTTTAAAAAATAGTAACTTGCTTTTTTGATAGAATTATTATTAACATGTTCCTTTACAAGCAAGTTAAAAAAAATATCCTATTTTTTCCTAAATATATAAACAAGAAATATCAATGCATGTCTCAAATGCCATAAGTCAAATTTGGAGGAGATACGAGAAATATTGGTCCATCCATAATAAAAATGTTATTTTTTTTCATAAACATTTTGAAACTAAGAATGGCTTGAGCTATCTTTTCTCATCATGGTAATTTCATAACCTAATAGCCCCTTGATATGCTCTAATGTTGTACTATTAAAATGCTCTCAGAACCGGTAGTAAAAAAAAATTTGAATCCCACCACTGCAGGGAAAGATCACTAGCCAAGAGAGGACTACATATATTTGCTTGCAAAATGTCTATACATAAAATAGGAAATTATCACAATTTCGCAACCCGATTTTTTCTTTTTTTTTTTTTTTTGCTTTCAGCCTCTCTGAGGCCAAGTGGTTTGGAGTCAAGACTATTAGTCTGAGAAGGAAAAGGGGGGTATATTCAAAAGTTCTGGGGTATATTTTTTTCTAGAAAAAGAGAAAACTCTCAAATAAACCTTACGCCTCGTATTGGAAAACATAAGTACATATACTCATATACAGCTGTTGGAAGAGGATGGTTTTTTTTTTCATTTACTTTTCAAATAGGCAGGTTGAAAAAAATTAATTAATATTTTGCTGCAATTGAGTAAAATAAATATTGCTCTTCAACTTCCTTCATAGTCATTCTTTTTCTTACTTTCTACTCCCATCAAAACAAAATATTCTAAATGTTGAGAGAATCTGAAATTGCAAAAAGAAACATTGGTTTAATAATGCAACTTAGATTTTCATGACATATCTATAATTTTATTTTGTTTCCCAAAATCTTCATTTCTTTGACTTTTTAAATCTTTAAATAGTGTGTGTGTGTCTGCGTGCGTGCCATTATTTTCCTAATATCACCCAGATTTTCCCTTTCCATCTCTCTTTGTAAAATGTTGCTGTGTTTTACAAGTTTATGGCTCCTTCTTTCCTCATTACTTTTTTCTACATATCAATGTATAACATATAGCAATATTAATAGTGGCTATCTGTTTAATAGCAATATCACTAGAGGGCAGCATTGATTAAATTAGCCTCTTGAATAATGAGAACATAAACTTGCATTTTGAAAGCAGAGGGAAAAAATATCTGATATAAATCCAGGTACTTTTCTATTGTACATGGATCGAAGGAATTCTGCATTTTACAATATCCCTACATTATCTATAAAATATGGTGCCTACGTCTCATCTTTTTAAACCGTGCTGTTATTTTTGTAAAAACCTGTTTAAGGTCAGAGAAGGTAAAACTGCAATAAAAGGTATAAGGCTGGGAATCAGTAAGTATTTAATTTATTTGTAAAATATAAAATTAAGATATTAACTCAGTTGTTCTTATTGCATTACAGGTCTCCTGACAAATGCAGCAACGAAGAAATCTTGTAGGAGTTTTTAGGCTTGGTGTGAGCTACATTCCCTAATCAAGTTTCACTGCTGTGGTTCATCCATTTTACATCATCAATTCAACTGTCTATTTCTCTGTATTTCATTGAAGAAGGCATAATTCTACATTATGAGCTAAAAGTCTGTTCTACCCTATGAAAGAAAGTTGGACTAAGGAATCAAGATCTAAGAGAAAGGCTTGGGCGTTAGCAATACAACAAACAAAACCACAAAGTTCACGGTTAATATTGCATCTGAGTTAGTTCCACTGCTAGACTTGATGTGTGGTTACAATAAAAGTCAACTAAACTGAAGAGAACTCATCCCAACCAGCCTTAGAGAAGACTGTTTTGTCTACAGAAGGACACTAAGGTATTGAAGACAATTTTTCTTGTGCCCTAGACTGCCTGAATTGCTTTTATTTTCTTATGTTTCAGTATATACAATAGACCAAAGAGCAAAATCTATTTTAAAGTGGACACGATATTACTGTGACCAAGATTGTGTAGACTCAACAGTATGGAGACCACCCTGTACAAATTCAGTTCACTCTGTGAGGAAACGTTACTTTCCAGCAAAAGCCTTTACGGGACACTGCAGAAGAAGCTGGAGCTACTCTTGGGAAAAAGTACCCTAAAAATCACAAGGGAACATGGAGAGATTATGACCAATCTGAAAGAAGAAAACAGAACTTTTGATTCAGAACAAGACAAACTGTCTACGCACCGTTTTACTCTGTGCTTAGATTGACTTATCGTACTAAAATCATTCTAAGTTTAACCAGTTCAACATGCCTCTTCTATGGTTCCATTCTTTGATCGTTAAAAGTTGGATAATACAGTATTTGCAAAGAGCATGTTTGGTCATCTGTGGCCTATGTCTCATCCGATACATTTAGCGCCAGAAAGCAAATCCAGGGGGAAGGGGAGAGGGGAAAGTAACACTTGTTTGAAAGAGATCATTAAATGTATTTTGAAAAGCCTAAAGTTATATATTTAACAGTTTTTATATGTTGTATATTTGTAGAAAATCCTATTTAACAATTAACGTGGACGGTCATGACAAAAAGGTTCAGAGTTGGGTTGTTGTTTTTATTACTTCAGTTGTCTCTGAAGTGACTGATGTAGTTTGCTTTCTTCCATTGGGACATTCTGGATGTAAAGCATGACCAGAGAGGAATCTGTAGAGAAGCAAAGAATAATGGTGTTTATATTACATAAATGCATTCAACCATTGCACTGTTGGAAGGCTTTCTTTCTCTCTTCTCTTCCTCTTTCTTTTTTCTTTGTTTCTTTTCTTTTTGTTTTCTTTCTTTCCTTCCTTCCTCTTCTTTTTCCTTTTCCCCCTGGGAAGGGAGTGATAGTCTTTTAAATGCCAGCAAAACAGTGTAAAATAGTTGAATAGTATTACTTTCCATACTGAGTTGCATTCTTTCTCTCTCTCTCTCTCCCCACCACGCCACCTCCTCCCCCTTTCCTAATTTAGCTCCTTGATCAAGACTTTTTTTTTTTTACATCACGTTTTTGAAAACTCCCTTATTCAATATTACGGTAGAAAAAATGTTACAGGAAAGTGGTATTTTAAAAAGGAAAAAAAAAAAGGAAAAGCATTGGTACCTTCAAATATAGTATCTCCTTTTTCTATAAGTCTGGCTCATAGTGATATGATTAGGTCAAGAAATGGGCTTACTTCTTCCCCCCAAAATATTTGTCAATATTAAACTTATTCCCAATGTCCACTGTAGTATACTACCTAAATACTCCAATTAACTTTTAGTATTATGCTAGTTCTATGCTACTAAAGAAAAGTGTATAGGGATTGTTCAAACAATCATAGATAAGAGGGATGGGGGAAAATAGTTCATTTAATCAAGACCTCTCCCAATTTTCAATATAATTTTATTGCACAAGTTGAGGAAATCATGAATTATAGGTGACAGTGTCTATGAATAAAACATATGTGATGATGGTCTTAATTCATTGTAAAAGTTCTGATCAGTGTCCAGGTAGCAATTAAAGCCCAGCCACTTGAAAAGTATTATGAACTGACTGCACTATAAATGACCAGTGTCTGATTTAAAATGTCATGCAATAAATGATGGTAGATACTTCACCTGTATAATAAGAATTGGAGTGCCACATCCCTCATTCTACTGTTACTATATTTTTTTTTCTTTTTCCTTTTTTGGAGGGAATGTAGTAGCCTTATTTAGTCAATACTGAACAAAACTTAAAATGTTTCAACTTTTTTTTTGTTGCTTTACAGTATTCAGTTTTGTGTTGGTTCAGCTAAATTATGAAAAAATAAAATCATTTTATAAGTGAGATTTCTGGTCACTGCTGATGAAATGAGGCAATAATTCAAAGGGGGGAGGGAAAGGTAAGAAAAGGATCCTGTGAGATAAAATAATTTATTTGGGGATGAAAGGACTAGATTTATCAGGATTATTCCTGTATTGTGCTGAATATGATTATCAATAAAAAGTGATGACCAATTTTCTACGATTTAAAATATTGAACTGCAATTAGTGATAAAGTTGTCAGCAAATATGTACATTTAAGTGATTGCAGTATTTGGGCCCTGTAAAGGCTATTTTGAAAGTTACTAAATGAGTTTTTCTCTTACCTGCTCTTCCTGAACAATCCTAATATTTGAGTTGTGCATTTAGCTTCAATAGCATAAGTGCAGATTTTTCCTAAGCTTACCTATGACATGCTGTTGCTTTAAAGATAAATCTGTGTAAACAATGTACTTACTGATGGATGGAGAATGGATGGATGGATGGATTCAAACCTAAGATTTCAAAATCACATCATTTGAAAAGTTCATATTGCATTTCTGAAAACAAACTTCTCCTCCTTTCCTTATTACCCTGAAAGGTAATGACAGGTTAGTAGGTTTTTGTTACAGTTTATTGTATTGTTAGCATAGAAAAGAAGGATACTGGAAGCTTTCTAATTCTTTTAGTATATATTTTTTTATCATTCTGAATCCTCCATAGCTGCCCACATATGCCCACTCTGAAATAGCCCAATGGGAAAGTAGCTTCATGGTGTTTTCCTCTGGCATTTAACTAAAATTTGAAAGCCACCGGAGTCAGCTGACCATTGGTGAGATGTCACTGTATTACCATAAGTTGCTATGACAGAACATTCACACATACTTTTTGGCCATCTCAACATTGCAGTGCATTGTTTGACCAGGCAAACTCTTATAGTTTGAATTTGAACCTGTGAGTAACATACACCGCAGGCAAATAAACTCTTTTATTTGCAGTAATAAAATATTTTGATTCATTTAAGAGAAGTTAAAAAAAAATCTTACATTATCCTTGATGGTTGCTGTGGAAATTCAGTGTTGACATTCCTCTGTCAATGCACACATCTGGGAGTTTGGATTTAACAGGACGGCTTCTGTTTCTGGACAACTTCCTCCAGTATTATTCTGGATACTTGTTTATAATCTTATGAAAATTATTCTTCCTGGCAGGACTGCCTTTGTTGAGACAAGCCAAGAAAAACAGTGCTAAATGCCTGTCAGGTAAGTTAAAATAAGGTAAGTGTTTGAGGGAGAAGAACAACTATATTATAGGAAGTACATGATCAGCTGCCTTCCAAGCACACTAGTGAATAATAGAGGTAAGCTAAGATACTTTTAGCTGGTTATACTTTCGAGGTGAGGCTTTGATTCAGCTAACTGATTCAGCTAATACTGCATTCAGTTTTGGTCACCATGATGTAAAAAAGGACTCTAGAAAGAGTGCAGAGAAGAGCAACCAAGATGATTAGGGGACTGGAGACTAAAACATACGAAGAACGGTTGCAGGAACTGGGTATGTCTAGTTTGATGAAAAGAAGGACCAGGGGGGACATGATAGCAGTGTTCCAATATTTGAGGGGCTGCCACAAGGAAGAGGAAGTCAAGCTATTCAAAACACCTAAGGGAAGGACAAGAAGCAATGGGTGGAAACTAATAAAGGAGAGAAGTAAGGAGAAATTTCTTGACAGAACAATTAAACAATGGAACAATTGGCTTCCAGAAGTTGTGAATGTTCCAACACTGGAAGTTTTTAAAAAGATGTTGGATAACCATTTGTCTGAAGTGATGTGGGGTTTGCTGCCTAGGCAGGGGGTTGGACTAGAAGACCTCCAAGGTCCCTTCTAACTTTGTTATTCTATTCTATTGTAATTTATTTTCTTCTCTTTCAGGGTCTTCTAATGTGGCCAACTTTCCTTACAGCATTGTAACTAAAATACCCATAATGATACCACCTTCCTTTTCTGCTTTAGAAATCATTTTTAATGTAAGAAATCCAGCATGTTTGTTCTATATAGTGTTGAGGAAAATTTCTTAATATGAGGACACCGAGGCTCAGGCTTCTATTATGTAATTGTATCAAATGGCATTAATAATTGTTCTTGCAAATCTGGATTTTAGAACCAGGCACATCCAGAAAAATCAAACAAAGAGCAATACGCCATTTTACACAAGAGTTAGTTTGACTTCTCAACCATTGGAAGGAGGCAATGACAAAGCACTTATTAAATCTTACCACAAAACTGTAGGGACTTGTTCTGATTAACTTCAAGAATCAAGCACAATTGAAGAAAAATGTATATTTACCTCTACAGTATTTTAAGGAAAAGGGGGCAGGTTCCTATAGGCATTAAACTTACTTGGATGGGAAGTGAAGCGGTCAGAAATTTATTTTGTTATTATAATGTAGTCCAACTCTCTAAAGATTGGACGGCAAAGCTTTTTAACATAATTATCTTTCATGATTTGGCTGTCATAGCCAAAGGCCTTTTAAAAAACCATCACATTCCTTCATGTGACAAGCAAATTAATGTCTAAGCTGCTGTGATCCAGTTGTAATGGTTGAATATTTTTAACAAGAGACTATGAATAAATCATAATAAAAATGAGTGCAAATCAATTGAGCATCCTGTCATTCAAACATTAAGAACACATGAATTGCCTTGTAGCATAAGATGAGGATCAATCCAATTTTGTATTGCATTTCAAGAATTTCCAACAGGATCTCTCTGATAATTCAGTCAGAACACTTTCTAAATAAATTGATTGAGAGGGAGGTAACTATTTTTCAAATATTAACATAGTCATTTTAATAGAATTCCTTTGGTCTTAAATAGGAAAGCCAATTCAAGTTTGCTCAATGTTAATTCATTGAATTAACTCATTCAATTTAGCAGGGTTTAGTAGGATGCAGTAATTATTTTTATTTATACACACAGGTGGGAGTTCAGTTATTCAAAAGATGCATTCATAAAAGGTGATAAATATAAAGTAAGATTTTTTTCTACCAATTGTGTCAATTTTTTTTGAGGTAAAATAATAGGAAATTTGATTAAAATGCTTTGTAAATCCCCATTGCCCAAATATGAAGGTACACATAGTCCTTGCTTAACCACAATTGAGACCAAAATCTTGGTCATTGAGCAGCCATTAATTAATATGTTCCCCATTGACTTTCTGGGGATTCTGATAAAGAAGATTCCAAATCGTGATGACATGTTTACAGGGTACTTTATCATTGGTTGTAAAAGATTGCAGAAAGTACGACTTCAGCAACAGAGTGGTCAATGCCTGGAATGCACGACCTGACTCTGTTGTTACATCCTCTAACCCCCATTCCTTTAAACTAACTGCTATTGACCTCAACCCTTTCCTAAGAGGTCTGTAAGGGGCGTGCATAAGTGCACCATCGTGCCTCCCGTCCCTGTCCTATTGTCCCCATTTATTCGTCCCTATTTCCTGTATTCTTACTCATGTTTATACTTATATCTATTATCTTGTAAGCAATTGACAAATCAAATAAATAAATAAAAATAAAATAAAAATGAACAGGTTGCCAAGCATCCAGGTGGGTATCATGTGATCATAGTGGGAGAAATTATGTTTTGCAACAGTTGAAAGTGCTTTAAAGGTCATAAGTGCCCTTTGCGAGCATGGCAGTAATTTGAATACCTGTTAAACAACCAATTCTGACCACAATCTATTATCCTTGCCTTTTTGCTACATGAGGATCATAAAGAAGCATCCTTGCCATCTATGTTAAAGAGGCCAACTATGTCAAAATTGAACAACCCAAATTGAACAACAGAATATGATATCATCTATCTACAATCTACAACACAGTCCTTTCAACAATTCCAAGAAGCCTCCACACCAATTTGCACCACTCAGGTGACCGTGATGACACAGATAAACCTCCTGGTGACCTTAATGACCCGCTAAAAGAAGGCAAATGACCTGCAAGGAGCATAAATACTTCCATTCCCCACCATCCAGTCAGAGCTGAAGAAGCTTCTTGGGTGAGAAGTGAAGCATCTTCAAAGACAAAAAACCAAGAAAGTTCAGTTGCCTCTCGAAAAAAGGCACCTTTGGGACAGCTATGACTGAGACTCTCCATAGGAACATAAGAAGCAGCATGCTATATCGTACAAAAGGCTCTGATTTTTGTTTCCTGAGTAATTTATTAGAAGTCAACCACACAAATTCAATACCGATCATCCTAATTTAACTACCATGGGCAGCAACTTGGTAGTCACAAAGTGAAACTGCAGCTGTATCTATGATCTTCGTTCAG